CTGATGACAATGGAGGTGGGGGGAGGCCCCCCGCATTGTGGCCGCCCATGGCCCTGCCTGACTCATGCATACCTGCCCCCGGCCGGTGATGTCACGCCCGCCCTCCTTGCTGCCCACCCCTCCTCCCTCCATCCTCTGACCAGTGCCCCGTGGCCTGGCAGCTGTGCCTGGCATGCCAGCCTCACGTTTTTGTGGAAGGCAGCAGAGCGATCCTGCAGGTTGGGGGGGCAGTTTGGGACATGGTCATCTCCTCGCCTCCACCGTTCCTGCTGTTCCTGTACCCCCGTTCTCAGGACCCGATGTCCATGGTCAGAGGTCCTGGGGACCTGCCTGCACCTGTGTCCCCCCACCCTCTCACGCCCCTCCCCAGTCTCTCAAGAGGCTTTCCGCATTCTAGCCCTCTGCTAGGGACACGTGTCCCTGCACACCTCCTCGGGTGGCAGGCTGCCCTTGACTTTGGGGTGCTCCTCTCCTTCCTGCTGACCTAGTTAGGTGACACAGAGGCCTGAGGAGAAGCCATGCCTGTGTGTGACCACGGTGTGGGTTTCTTTGGCCGCTGTAACAAGTGACCCCAGATTTAGTCGCTCAAACCGCAAATCCGTTCTCGTGCAGTGATTTGGAAATGGGGGGTCAGGATCACGCCTGGCCCTCTACGGCTCTGGAAGCTGCCTCACTTCTTGGGGAAGTTGAAAGGGGGCAGCAGTTATGTTGCTCTGACCTCCCCTTCTGGCCCTGCCCCCCCTTCCGCGAGGCCCCTCTGCACACCCAGGTCATCTCCTGGGTTCATTTAATCGAGGCCAGGCTAGGGCTCAGGACAGAACCCTTAGGCATCTTCTCCAATTCACTCCCCCCCACACCCCCACATGGCCAGTGCCCCATGACCCTGGGTGGGGACCCTCCGCTCCTTTCACCTCTCCTGTTAAGGGGGGTCCAGCTTGGACCTGCGTCTTGGTGGAGGTTAGCCGAGAGAGGACCAGGTCCCAGGCTGTGGTGCCAGGGTGCCCAGGCACCCTGGAGGCCCCCGGGCCCCAGCTTGTGCTGCTCCCCGCGGTGGGGGGCTGGGGCAGCTGCCTCGAGACCTGGACGAGGACCCCTCGGAGCGGGTGTCGTTCTGCCCGCCTTGCGGTCTGAGCTCGGGGTGGAAGGTTGCGCATGCGCACACGGTCTCACGCTGCCCGGGCCAAACCCGATGCTCACCCACCCTGCAGCCTGCGCCAGAGACCAGGCCGCCTGCTGTGGAAGGCTGAAATGCCACCCATGCAGTTCTAAGGCCCCGTGGGGCCCTGGAGAACCTGGACCCCTGGCAGGAGCCGAAGGTGGAGACTCTCCACGACCCTTCATCCCGAGTCCGGACCTCAGGAGACAGCAAGGCCCAGCCTGGTTTTTTTTTGGGGGGGGCGGGTTCAGGGCTCCCTTGGGATGGGCTGATTGGAATTTTGCAGTTACTCTGCAGCCCTGGTTGGAGGGGTCTCCGGCCCCCCGTGGGAGGAGGCCCTGTCACAGGCTCTAAATAGCCTCTAGCCAGAGGGCCAAAAAGGGACTTTTTCCACCTCCCACGCTTGAGATGTTAAAATATCCACTTTCCACGCAGGAAGAACTTTCCTAGGAAGGTGGGCGGAGACATAGGAAACCAACACTCCCTGCCCCCCCCCACTGCTGAGTGACCTGGAATGGGGAACCCTTGTGTCCCAGGCTGGTGACTTTGGAGCTCCTGTGAGTTCATCCCTTGCACAGCAGGGCTTTGTGGGGTTCAAGGGCAGGCCGCGCCCAGTGAGGTATGCCTTTAAACCCAGCTACTTGATCACAGTTCAATGACCACCAGGGCCAAAAGCTCGCAAAACCCTAGTTCAAAGAAAAAGCTGAGTGTAGTGGTCCATGCCTGGAATCCCAGCTATTTGAGAGGCAGAGAGAAGAGGATTACTGTCCAAGGCTAACCTAGACAAAAGATAGACCCTACCTGAAAAATAACTAAAAAATAACTGGAGCAAAAAAAGGGGGAGGGGCAAGGCAGGGGCATGGTTCAAGTGGTCAAGCATCTGTCTAGAATGTGCAAGGCCTTGAGTTTGAATCTCAGCAATACTCCAAGCAAAACTCAAAAGCCAGAGAAGCAGCATGAGGTGGGAGGCAGTCAGAGGACATCTCTGCTGAGCCTGCCCACACCCTGAGGGGGGGCGGGGAGGGTCACATGGACCACGGGAAGCTGATCCAAACAGACTGGGGTTTTCGGAGCTGGTAACCGGGGTGTGCGTGCTGAGCCGAGGTGCTCTGGATGATGGGTGCATGTTGGAGAGAATGGGGGGCAGCGGGCCTCACAGAGGAATCCCACTGCCTGCCCTGTGCTCCGGAAGCTTCTCCACAGGTGTGAGCCCTTCACATCACAACTGATCTGCAACACAATCTCCCTCCCTCCCTCCCTCCCTCCC